GAGTGAGGTTAGGTTGATGACTATGACTATGACTGTGATTCATAGTTGAGTGAGGTTAGGTTGATGACTATGACTATGACTGTGATTCATAGTGAGTGAGGTTAGGTTGATGAGCTATGAGGCAAAGCTTTCCTTTAAAGCCAAATTTAAGGAGATATTTTTTAAGCGAACAAAAGCTAATTTTAATTCATTTCTTTGTTTTTTTTGATTCGTGTTTTCATAAATTTTATGTTTTTCATTTTTTACAACAAAAAAAATGATAATAAAATAAGATGGATTAAAGTTTGTTTTTGTGTTTTTTGATAATTAGGATAATGTATTTTTTTCGAGAAAGAAACTACAAATAAAAAAACATTGTTCGGATTGTTGTTTGATGATGTTGAATGAATTTCAAGAATTTTCCATCATGTTTGTTATTTTAGAGGAGAGAAGATCATAAAGGAAAAATGATAATGAAAAAGCGGCATTTCATTTCGTTCATCATTTTTCGAATTGATTATGATGATGATGAACGGAAAAATACATCAAACAGAAAAAAAAGTATGACAATCATAAAGCAGGCAGGCAAACATTTTTTTCGGTAAAATATGAAAGACAGACATAAAAAAAGAACCGACAAAAAGAAAAAATTATTATTATTTGAACAAAAGACATGTTGTGTATGACAAATAAATAAAAAAAATTTTCATTTCAAAACTTAATTCTTTTAAAACCAAACCTAAACTAACAACAACAAAAAAATGTCATTTTCTTTTGTTTTTGTTTTTCTCGCTCAAAAAAACATAGGATTTTGGAACAAACATCTACTCTATCCGTGGAAATTTATTTCTTTTTTCTTTCGGTTTTGTTTTGCTGTCATTTTTTGTGTTGAAAAACATCCCAAAAACATCAGAAATCAAACATCAAAAGAAAATCGAAAAATTTTTCTGAAAATTTTTTTGTTTTCCAATTTTGCGCTCATCGACAACCAAGTTTATTTAATCATCATCATGGCTGATCTAATCAATTTTACATCATCATCAACAGCAGCAGCAACATTTTATATTTCAAATAATTTTATACGACATCAACATCGACAATTACAACATCAACAACATAATAATTTAAGCAGAAATTTTGCATTAGCAAATTATATTGCTTCAGCTATTTCCACCAATGTTCAATCATTATCATCATCATCATCAATGTCAATACCATTACCATCATCATATATGGCCATCAATGATATTGGTCAATCATCCGCATCATCATCAGCATCATCATTTGATAATATTATGTTACAAACAAATAATAATAATCAAATGGATAATAATAATTCATCAACAACAACAACATCATTTGAAACATTACAAAAAATTGTCAGTATTATTGTACCAATATTATTTGCTGTGATTGTTATTGTTGGTTTAGTTGGTAATTCATTAGTTGTGATTGTTGTTAAATGTAATCCACAAATGTATTCAACAACAAATTTATTAATTATTAATTTGGCTATTGCTGATTTATTGTTTATTATATTTTGTGTACCATTTACTGCTTGGGATTATGCATTTCCATATTGGCCATTTGGTAGTATTTGGTGTAAAGTTGTACAATATTTGATTGTTGTTTGTGCATATGCAAGTATTTATACGGTAGGTGTGCCTATATATTTTTTTCATTATTTTTTTCAATCATATTTTTGATTATTTGATTTGAAAAGTTTTGAGTTTTTTTTATTGAATTCAATTGAATATCTTTCGTTTTTTGTTTTGCTTTTCTTTTTGCTTTGGGTTCATTATTTTATTTTATTGAAAACAAAAAATGAAAAAGTGGAAACAAATTTCAATTTTTTCAATTTTATGCTTTTATGCTTTTTTCGGGAACATTTCTCTCGAAACGAAAAGAAATATTTTTTTTTTTTTTTTGCTTTCGATTCCAATTTTTGTTTTTGTTTTTTTTGTTTTTTTTTGATTTATAGGAAAACAAAAAGTTTCTTTTGAA